CAAGAATCGTACTTGTTGGGGGAATTTAAAAAACAAAACAAAACCCAAAAAAGCCAAGAGAAACTGAGAGGAGTCAGCTCCTCCTGGCTGGGCTGCTGTCTGCCAGTTCTTTTCAATACAGTGATTCAGTATATTCTTTCCATCTTCTTTGAATACTTCCTGGATCATTTAATATTCTGCCTGAAGTGTCCTTGATTTTAGCAACTCGAGGTTCGAATTTGTTCTTCAGTTCCTTGAGCTTAAGATATGCTGAGCGAGTTTGGCCCTTTTGATTTTCTGACTCCAACTCCTTACACATTTCATTGTAATATTTTACTTTGTTGGCCCGTGTTGCCTTTTGAAATCTTCTATTCAACTCTTTAGTATCTTGAATTCTTCCCTCTGCTTTAGCTTCTCTGTGCTCCAGTGCAATTTTCAGAGTCTCTTCTGACATCCGTTTTGGTCTTTTCTTCCTCTTCTGTCTTTGTAATGAACGTTTGTACTCTTCTTGGATGCAGTTCTTCAGGGTGGTAAGGGGAGCTCTGGATGCCTAATGGTAAGGAACAGTGCTGCAGTGTGAATCTACCACCTGCTCCGTGGGAGGTCAGTGGGCAAGTCTCCTCCTGTGTGATTTACGGCCTCTGAGAACCCGCTGGAAGGTCAGCTGTGGGTCATTTCTGACTTGATGGCACAGAAGGACAATGACCATTTATAGTCGTTATAAGTTCGTTGTGTTCATTACAAGATGATTTGAGGTGACAGCCAGGGTTTAAAGAATATCTCATGGCAGTAGTTTCAGGGACTCTGACTGTCTCAGTAGGTCTAGTAAGTCTAGGGTTTTCAAAAGCTGATATTTCACATTTTCATTCCATTCTAGCAAAGACTAGTCTTCCTCAGAACATACAGGAATGGTATTTGGACACTGTCTGCTTTTGATCTCAGGGTGGATGAGGCTGTGAGTTTGTGTACTTAGTTCCGTATGCTCGCTTCTTAATTGAGTCTTGGGTTCCCTCTGTCTTTTTTGCTCTAGACCAACAATGGTGAACTGGTGTACTACTCACCAGATTAAGATTAAAATATAATCTTCGTGAACGATTTTGTTCTGGTTATCTTGTCCTTCCCCCCCCCCCCCAAACGAAAATTTTCAAAGTAAAAGGAGAAAATAGTACACGGTACATCCTTACAGGTGAACAGTCATCACTGTTTACCTGAGGGCCCTGGAGGTGGAACCAGTAGGGATGGGGAGCAAGCCCTGCTCACTCACAGAGTTTCCACCTGACGCTCTCGTGTCTGTCGTCTTGTCCAGATCTGCTGTTGAGATACCCTCCTCCTGAGAGAGACTAAGGAAAATGAACACAGCTCCCTGGAAAGCCTGGGGAGAGGTGAGTGTCCCCTGAGTTTCCATCCCTTCCCAGGATGGCCACAATCCCCTCTCTTGCCCTGACTGTTTTGGTCCTGAGGTGTCTTAGCTGCAGTGGCTGTCCCTGAGTGTCCTTGTCTGCTCACTCCTCGCGATCTTCACCCTATGCTCAGCCACACGTGTGTCCACACTGGAAGGGGCAGATGAAAGCTGCAGCTAGCTGCAGGTCCCATGACTTGAGTGTTGACCAGCAGCTAAGGCCTTGATTCTATGCAGTGATGGTCCTGCCTCATTTGTCCAGCATGACCAGAGCTCTTGAATTTTCCAAAGAAGCCAAATTCAGAGTTTTTAGGAGACATTCACCAATGTTTGAACTGCTTTAAAAAGAAAACATTTTAACATACTATGTGTTCAAAGAAAACCTGTTTATGGTTTACTCCACTTTTAAATCAAGATGAGGTCCATGCTGTCAAGGCCCCCCTTTATTTGTGTTACAGACTCACATGGCGTTCAGGGATGTGGCTGTGGACTTTACTTCGGAGGAGTGGGGGCTGCTGAGCTCTGCTCAGAAGACCCTGTACCGAGAGGTGATGCTGGAGAACTATGACAACTTCGTCTCCCTGGGTAAGCATGGCTGCTTAGGATTCACGCTTGTCCTGCGGGGCAGTTGAGCCTTTACTGGGAAAAGCCTTTTTCTTTGTGTTGAGTCCCCAAACAGATCTATTCTGTTTCCTGTTTTCCCAGGAATGTCTAGATTCTGTAGAGTTAAAAATGGGGAGAGAGAGAAAGAGAGAGATTGAGAGAGAGAGAGAGAGAGTGTGTGTGTGTGTGTGTGTGTGTGTGTGTGTGTGTGTGTGTGTGTGAGAGAGAGAGAGAGAAAGAGACAGACAGACAAGCGAGCGAGCATGTGCTACTCTGCGTTTTTTAGGCCTTTCCTCCTACACTGGAGCTTCTCTTCCTAGAATGTTTCCTCTTGAGGGAGGACGGTGTTCATGCCCCTACCCCGAGCATAGCATGCCAGGGAGTCGTACGCTCTCCTGTATCCCGCTTCACCATCCCTCTTTCTGCTGCTAAGATCTCACTATTCTCAGGTCTTCCGTTTCACCATTTGAAGTCTGAGTTTGTTTCTGAGTGCTGGAAGGCAGCCTTGAGCCCGTCACTTTATAGTCACCTTGTTTTCTTTTCCTCTGAGCAGGAATTCCATTTTCTAAACCAAAACTCATCACTCAGCTGGAGCAAGGGAAGGAGACCTGGAGAGAGGAGGAGAGATATCCAGGTGAGTGGAGAGCGCTGGAGACACGGGGCCCTGAGCAGCCCAGGCTGGGAGGATGCTGTTCAGACTTCCGGAGCTGGTGTTTAGATTGCCCGCCATGGACATCCTCACCTGACTGGGGAGCTTGTGTCTCATCACCTTCCCTTCTGAGAAGCCTTTTTTTCTCACTGGATTTGCCTTCTTTGACTTTCTTGTTTCATTTCCATATTCTGGTTACCATTTTTTTTGGGCAGAACCCAAATAAACCAAAGAAAAAGGTAGAATAGAAAGGAAGGGTTAAAACCAAACAAAATAACAACCCTTGAAATGGAAATGAGATTCTAAAAAAATTAAGAGTAATCGTTAAGCTCTTTCCGTCACTTTCCTTGCTGTCACAATGGTGCGCAGAGTGTCAGGAGCATCACCGAGGCCAAGAAGAGGGGCAGGCGCCGCATTCACCTCAGGTCATGCTCCGGGGTCAGAGCTCAGTTCTAACTGAACATGAAGCACGGCCGCATTGGCGAATTTGAAATCATTAATGATCACAGAACACAGTTGTGTTCAGCCTCACAAGCAGGTGTGGCGCGACCAGCCCCAGAGATGATGTGCAGCTCAGAGGTCTAGAAAAGTGGCAGAATCATCTGCTACCATCCTGTCCTTCGGGTTGCATTAAACTGACCACCTCAGCTGACATCATGGACGAAGTGAGGCGAAATATACAGGAGGAAAATCATGGAATTCTTTTTTGTAGGGATGTAATACATAGTACAAATAAAATGTCTCAAAAGTGTTTACAATTTTTAGTGTATGTATACTCTAACGTGGACTGTAAGAATCAACATAAACCTGGTTCCTCATGAGGTAGAAATTCCACCTTCCCTTCTTAAATTAGCTTGCACCAGTGCTGACTCTACTGTTGTTGTTGTTATGTGCTGTCAAGTCACTTGTAACTCATAGCGACCCTATGTACAACAGCCCTAAACTCTGCCCTGTCCTGTGCCAGTCTCTGACACTCCCATCCTGATTATCCCAGTCACTGAATCAATCCACCTCATAGAGGGCCTTCCCCCCCTGCGCTGTCCCTCCACCCTCCCAAGTATGATGTC